CTAATTTTTTTAATTTAAGAAAAGTTGATATTTTAAAAGTGAAATGTTGGGCAAACCTGTCATAAAGGAGGAAATGGAATCTATCGAGTCCCAGTCACAAGATATTGCTGTGATCTCTACTCCGAATAATATTTATATACAAAATTAGATGAAATTACATCTTTGCACGGGACTACACGAAATTAAATTTTCAAGTTTATTCATTGCTATTATTCGGGTATTTTTAAAAAATTAGAAGGAAAAAGTATGAGTGAAATCGTCTAGTTAATTTATGTGGAAAATGTTTAGAAATAAGTTTTCCGAAAAATTTCTTTTGAGAGTTACCGCCCAGGTTTTTGAATTTTTTTTTTAGTTGAAAAATTGAAATATTTTTTTTTGGTAATTTTCTTTTTCCTGCAATAGGCAGGTTTTATTCTTCAAAGAATTGTTACTTCTATATTTCTTCTAGCTACATTGATAACTAACTGTTAATAATAACAAACAGGTCAGTCGTTTATTCTTAGCTAATTATAGTCCTCTCTTTTGTCATATATCTTTAGCACTCGATTGTATTGTATTCTTAACCAAATATTGCAAAAGACATGATCAGTGCAGTTCTTAACAGTGTAACGAGAAAAGAAATGTGTATCAGTCCTGTTCATAATTGATGGTAGTAAAAAAAGCTCGGCCAATTACTGCATCCTAAAATGATAGTACTATTTCTCGATCATTTTTTGATCATTTCAGGATGAAGTAAATATTATGTTGCAATGCTGTGTATTTCTGTAGTCATGAGTAGAGTTCATAGACGACTGATATTTAGAGAAGGTGAAAGGAAAAAAAAAACGGGTCTCCCGATTTTTCGGCACTGCCATATACTTCAGTTTCAGTTTCAGTTTTTAATTAGATTAGTAATGCAAGCTTATAACTTTCTATCACAATCATTTTATTTTTCACTCATGATATTATAAGTATCAAATGAATCATTGCAAAATGCTTCATCAGATGATCCCATCGCGAATCATTACAACTTATCAAATCTGAAATTTTGTTTTCGCTTTCAATGCACGATATCTGTCTGCGATATTCTTTATTGTACATTTGAGCCAGTC